AAAGTTTTTTTTTTTTTTTTTGTAGTTGAAGTCTCACTCTGTTGCCCGGGCTGGAGTGCAGTGGCACACTCACGGACACCCCAGCATTGACCTGCTGGGCTCCGGCAATCCTTCTGCTCACCCAGCTAATTTTTTGATTTATCGTAGAGACGAGGGTTCGCCAGTTGCCCAGGCTGTTCTCGAACCCGTGGGCTCCGGCAATCCACTCGCCTAGGCCTCCCAAAGTGCTAGGATTACAGGTTGAGCCACGGAGCCCCGCCATGTCTGCCAAAGTTTAAAGGAAAAGTAGAAACCAGTCAAGGTGTGGAAGGTACCCCACCCCCACCCAGAGGAGCAGATGTGCAAAGCCCCAGGCTTGGGGTAGTGGTACTCTTCAGAGAAAGCCTGGAGCTCCACATGGCTGAAGCATGAGGGACGTGCCGTGGGGCAGTGGCAGCCGATGAAACTGATACAGAGGAGCCTGGGACGCACACTGCACTGAGGTGTTTGGATTCATCCCAAAGGCGATGGGAAACCACGGGAGAAATTAGAAAACCAAAGGGAAACTTGGTGGCTGGCAGTACTGTTTCAAGATAAGCTGCTTTTTGAAATATATCTTCTATAGAAGCTGTCTAGTTCCCTAAAACATAAAGCGATCCACTGACACAGCCATATTCTGGTAACCCACGCTGCAGCAGCTCAGTTCTCTACTCCTCAAAGACACCCTAGTGCTTTCAAAATAATGATAGGTAACATGCATTGAGCACTTAATATGTGCAAGGCACTGCTCAAAGCATTTTGCATGTATGAGCTCAAAACAACCCAACGATAGGTAAGTAGTAGTATTAGCCCATTTTATCAGAAAGGAAACTGAGGCACAGCTGGTAAAGTAGGTTGCCTCGATTCACACAGCTACTGAGTAGTAGAGCCCGGACAGCAGTTCAGTTTTTTGAGTCAGCATGTAGGGACCGCCCCCCCGCCACCACCTGCCTTACTCATCACCTGGGGACCCCACGTCTGTCACCTCGGCTGTCTCCCTGCAGAATTCACCCAGCACTTCTGTCTTCCAGGACTTTGCCTGTGCCTGACAAAAGCAGACTCACAGCAAGGGTTTGTGGAATGGATGAATGAACTTGACTTGTGTGAGAGCATTGCAATTTACAAAGCATTTTCTCATCCATTAACCTGAGGGCTATTCCTTGTGAGTCTTCCTTGTCTTCCACGGGACTCAGCACAGAAGTGTATGGTCATGCTGCCACAAAATGCTCAATGGATGAGAAAAACAATGAACTCCTGATTAGAGAGAGACACAGAATCCATTTTATTAGCCTGTGCAAGCATCTTGAGGGCAAAGACAGGGTCTCATTCATCGTAGTACCTCAATGCCCAGCACGATGCCTGGTACAGACAGCCCAGTATTTGTGAAATGTGTGGAATAAGCCAATCTCGCCCTCTGCAGAAGTAACAAGATTTCTCCCTTACTACTGCTCTCCTAATAAAGTCCAAAGGGAGAGCTGGACTGAGATTTCTCCATTTCTGTCATCTGTCCATTACACTTAGATCTGTTGCCCAGGCTGGAGGGCAGAGGCAGGATCATGGCTCACCACAACCTTGACTTCCTGGGCTCAGGTGGTCCTTCCACCTCAGCCTCTGGAGTAGCTGGGACTACAGGTGCGCCCCACCATGCCCAGCTAGTTTTTTGACTTTTTGTAGAGACAGAGTCTCACTATGTCGCCCAGGCTGGTCTTGAACTCGTGGGTTCAGGCGATCCTCTTGCCTTGACCTCCCTAAGTGCCGGGATTACAGGTGTGAGCCACCGCCTGCCCGGCCTTTTTGTGTGTGTGTTTACTGGTTTTTTTTGGTTTTTTTGAGTTGGAGTCTCTCTGTCACTTGGGCACACTCACGGCCACCGCTGTCTCAACCTGCTGGGCTCAGTCGATCCTTCCGCCTCGGCCTTCCAAGTAGCTGGAACAGGCGTGTGCCACCACATCCAGCTAATTGTTTTATTTATTGTAGAGATGAGGGCTCGCCAAGTTGGCCAGTCTGATCTCAAGCCTGTGGGCTCGGGCCATCCTCTCATCTTGGCCTCCCAAAGTGCCAGGATTACAGGCATGAGCCATCGCACACAGCCTTGTTTTGTTTTTTGATTTTTTTAGATCTCAGATCTCTCATGGGAAAAGGTCATTGCTCCCATTTCACAGATGGCAAAACTGCAGCCCAGAGAGGCTCTGTGTCCAGTTCAAATCTCATTTAGTCCCCCAACACCTGTGGGAAAGGCATGGTGGCACAGACTGAGGACATGGTGGCAAAGGCAGCAAGGCACCTATCGGTGAAGCACCTGTCAGTGAAGCACCTGTCAGTTCTGGAGAAGTGGAGGCTCTTGTTTCTGGAATCCCCGGCTCCCTGTCCTCATCTCTCCCTTCCTTCCCACCACCCCATTACCCTCAGCCTTGTGGGATCTGGAAAATGGGCAGGGCCCAAGGCTCACAGTCTCTGTACCCCGAGAGGTGATGTGCCACCGAGGCGGCTCTCAGGTATCTTCAGCACTCCACAGCCCATTTGGGACAGATGACAAAACTCGCCGTCCTTCATAAGGCTGGTCCTGGGTCTCTAACCCCAGACTCACTTCCTCAGAGCCAAGGAGACCAAGAACAAACCAATCTTTCACCTCAACCATCTCCCCTCCTCACCGCTCCCACCACCACCACCCGAGCTCAGATCCCCACCCCGTGGGCAGTGGGGGACATCTTCGGCGGTGCAGGGCCATCTGGCAGTGGGCTGTAGCCCTGAAACGGCTTTCTGGAAGTCCTCTCCTTGCTGGACTTTCCTTCCCAGGTCCGGCCGCGGTCTGGGACGCGAATTCCCCTATTCTCCGCCCCCTCTTCAGCGCCACAGTCCGCCGTTCCCGAAGACCCCTCGCGTTTCCACCCCAGGGCTCAGGGCGTGCAGCCCCAAACTCCAAGCCACCTGCGAGACCCCAGGGCGCCCTCTGGCGGTCGCGGGGCGTGGGCTGGAGCCGTCAACGCTAGGCTCGCCAGCCGCGCTGAGCGCACCTGGCCGGACCCACGGCGGACCACGCAGGTTTGGAGACGCGTGAACGCGTATTTTTGTTTTGCGTTTGCTCTGATTTTCCGCAGGAGGCAGGCGGCCCACCCGTGTCGGCATCGGCTAGGAACCTGGCAGGGGGCCGATGGGCCGAGGCCGGGCAGCCGCCACGCAGGGGGCGTCTCTTCCGGCCTCGGGACTCCCCGCCTCCCCTCGGGAACGTGCCCCTAGGTGACCGTCACGCCTCTCTCCTCTCCAGCGCTCAGGTCCGGCCCCCGCCCCGCGGCCTGGCTGTGGGGTGGCCCCACTTCCCCCTGG